TTCATCTTCCAGTTTATTTTTTTTAAAAGCACACTCTGTTCTCATCTGTATTTTGACATTTTAACATTGAAGGCTGAGAGACGCAATGGTTTCTAATCTTCATTTTAAAAAAGCCTTTAGTGCATAAAACTGCATGCGATATTGTGTGTGAGCTTTTAACTTCCTCAGAAACCCAATACAGACAACTAACACTTTAACTGCACTTGTCATGACTCTGAGCCAACAATTTCATTTTTAAAAGAAAAAGACATTGATAACATTTGTCTAGCATGCAAGTTTTATATCTTAAAATAAACATCATACTTTCACATCAAGATAGAAAATCATCTTTCTTCTTCTCAAAGATTAAAAAAATAAAAGGGAAAACATTTCAAACATTATTTCATATCTTCATTATCCTTAATCATGACTTTATAAAATAAATTGAAATTTAATAATACTAAAACCTTCAATAAAACTCATATGTAAACCAATTCATGCATTTCATCAACCAACCAACACCTAACAAAATAGTAATACATATATTGGACATTTACCGTGACCAGAATATGAACCCTGACCTTCGAACTTCATAGATAATAGCCATGAAAATATTGAATACTCAGTGATGTCCCGTGCATGCATATGCGTTCAGAAATTGCAAAATCTGCGAAAAAAAGGTTAATTCTGTTTGGTAAAATTTTAGTTTCACTGACGACTCACCTTCAGTATAACATTATGTGCTTGATTAAAAATTCCACAAATTTCAATTTTGATAAGTGTCTTTTATTTCATTAAGATTTGATCTAAATATGATTTATTCTAATTAGGAAGAAAAGAGTGTGTATTGATGCTGTTGATATTTGTAACATTAAAGTTAAATTTCTACGACTATCATCTAAAAACTGATACATGTAATTATGCACACCCTTCTCATCTTCTGCATTTATTTATCATTGTAGTATACATATTAATGTTTATAACTGTTGAATCATGAATGCTTGATAAAAGCTTCAGCATCTATATGTCAAATCTTTTATAGATATGGCTAAAATATCTTAAATATATTGTCAGAGTTGTAAAATTAATTCTTTGGTGATTCTGAATTGTTTGATCAGTCTTCATCTCTGAATTTTTTTAACAAAGTACAGGAAAGGAATTCCAGCAGACAGAAGAGTTCTAAAAACATGAACAGTTTTATCAACATTTTAAAATAACTGAAGCAATGACATTAATCAGCTGATTTTATCTAATTTGTTATTTCTAACTTTAACAGAAACAAGTGCAGATTTCCTAAATATACTCTCGAGATATATCAAATACTTTTTTCATGTTTGACCTTTCTGCATGCACTTATTGAAATATTGACTTTCTACTCCTAGTTTTGAGTTCAAAATTAAAAAAATTAACCAAATATCTATCCTCTTCGAAACAACTTAAGAAAAAAAAACTTGCCAGTACAGATAGCCTTTAAGAGAAAACACATTTTTCAATGGTTATATAAAAACATAACAAAAATATTCATAATAATTTTGGCAATCATAATCTTCAAAACAAGAATCTGAAGTAATAACAATAGCCATAGATATTCATTGTATTTATTCCATTTATATAAGTTGTCTGGTTGTTTGAGATGTGAAGAGTGAACTTGCAGATTAGATGTATAGTGTTGAAGTGAACTGAACACCAAGGATAGATCCATATATTACAACTACACACAGAATTAGAATTTTCCACAAAATATGGCAGGAACATGGACAACCCAACTGAAAAACACTCTCAAACAAGCCCCTTCCGTTAAGAAGCAATGTATGAAGTTTGAGTCTAATTGTCCAAAGAAAACTCAAGTAATCCCACAAACTCTTTTTACAGCTACAATGAAATTGACCTTTGAACTTTTGACCTGAACAGAAATCAAAGCAACTATCTCTGGTAAGCTAAATTTATGGGAAAAAATTATATTTATAGTAAGTGGCCTTGACCTTTGACATTCAAACCTGAAAAGCAATCTCAAGCAAGCTCCTTAGGTAAGGAAGCAATACATGAAGAGTAATTGTCCAAAGAAAAGAAAACTTATCGCATGAAAACCAATCTCCTGTAGATGGTAACACTATCCTGGACTTTTGACCTTCAAACCTCAAAAGCCATCCCAAGCAAGCACTTTTGGTAAGGAAGCACTGTATGATGTTTGAGGTTGATTGGCATACATTAACTGTAGTTATTGCGAAAAATCTAGTTTTCTATTTCAGTAACAGTGACCTTGACCTTTGACCTTCAGACTTGAAAAGCATTCCCAAGCAAGCACTGTTGGTAAAAAAGTACAGTATGAAGTTTCCGGTTAATTGGCCAAAGCATACTCAAGTCATCAAGACAAAAACAATTTCCTATTTATAGTAACAATGACCTTGACCTTTGACCTTCAGACCTCAAAAGCGATCTCAAGCAAGCACTTCTGGTAAGGAAAAACTGAATGAAGTTTGACGTTGATTGGTAAAAGTGAACTAAATAATTGCGAAAAAAACCTTTGTGCAGACAAAGATGATGCCGACATAGTAATACCTCTATGTGGTGCCTTTGGCAGGCGACACAATAACTGAATTTTTTTTAGCTCAACATCATAATATGAAACCTCTCAGCTCAGTTTTGTCACAAATTAAAAGCTTTTTTGTTTTTTTATTTTCCTAGAAGAAAACTTTTATATACATAGTCAAGTGAGACTTTGTCATTATTTTTTCTCTTCTTTTTACTGGTACAAGTTTTGAAATATCATTAATGGTGCCTTAATGATTCCAAACTCCCTAAAACAGTTTGGTAGGTATCCCATCATTTATTGTACACATTCATACGAGAGTTTTCTCTTCTATTTCAGCTATGATTTTTAAGATATTATATCTCTTAATGATTCAAAATGCAATCTTCCAAGAAGTGCTTTCTAAATTTCTCTTGATATTAATAAAGATTTACAGAAAGGTGTCACAGGATGACATTTTATATATTTTTCTGATCTATACTTGGCATTTAAGTAAAGTTTAAGGAAAAAATGTTATAGTATTTCTGATCTACCATTTACAAATAGATAAAAGAAATTCTCGAGTAATAAATTGATAAAAGTGCCTGAAGAATTGTGCACTATGATATTCTACATGTATAAATACTTCACAGACTCTAATGCCATACTGGAGACCATACTGAGGCTCCAGCTAAGCTAGAGGCAGAACAACAGGTCATAGGTCAATATCCATCAGTGCTGCCCCCTAGCTCGGATACAGAGAGGACTCAGAGAGGAGCGTGCAGACACATCAATTGCTTACTTACAATAGTTTACCATAGATAGAAGGACAACACATAAGATCTAACAGCAAGGACGTACGTCTATATCTGAAATCAACAAGTCACTGTCGTAACAATTATAAATTCCGACTTGGGCTTACGCTTTTATCTAAAAACAAGTCAATGGCGAAACAATTATCAATTCTGACCTGTACATCAATATCTGAAATCAACGAGTCACTGTTGTAACAACTATAATCTGAATTATTATCATACACAAGTCCCTGTGAAAAACATTTATCAATAATATGTGTTGATAATCTCAGAAAGTAAGTCTACAATATTCCTTAATCATTGTTGGCCAAAGTCACTCTAGTATGATGTTTTATTAATATTACATTTTCAAATTGTTACCACTAAAATATACTTTTCACTAATCATTAATCAATCAGTCACGTTCTTTAAAAAGAATGATAACTGGTTGGAAAAGTCTGCTCTCATAAAAAACAACAGTTTATCTTACACTGATGATATATATATTTGTAAAAGATGTGCAAAAATCATCTTGGAATCTATTCAAAGTTACACATTATCCAGTCATATCACAGAAAGAAAAATTTCCATCCAGTGACTGAAGTATCAATACCCATCCTGAAAACAACATAAACTTTGCCCTGGAATGTTATGAAGAAAGACGTCTCATCAGTTCCTTTAGGCCATGTTTTAGTATTGTATTAACAGGGTTGTGATTACAGCAGCAGAACAGAGTTCTATCATAATGACCAATGTATCATCAGATATTACTTGGCAAAGCTTACCAATCAGAAAGACGCTTGCTAGACAACACAATGGGCCCAATAGACCTGTAATCAATCACCTGTTTTTTCAATGAGATTGGCAGGTCTGTAACCAACCTGTGACCTTAAATAGGGTCAAGATCAAATCTGCATGAACTTCATATCAGGCAAGGTCAGATACTATCAATTGAACATTGTGATTATATCTCATTTCATTTCTTTCCACAAATGAACTCTGCCAAATACCATGCTTCTGCACCTTTTGTTAGACAGAAGAAGCTCTTTTAAAGCTTTAACAAATCTGAATCCCGTGACCTTTAATAGGGACAAGGTAATTTCTTTTCGCAAACTTTGTCTGGCTTTATTCCAGGCATCCTTCAGCAAAATACCATGACAATTGGTCTGCTGTTTATTGAAAAGAAGTCATTTAAAAGGAAAAATTGATGCCGTACCGACGACGTATGACACACCCTGGCATAAGCTCACTTAGCCTTTTGGGCCAGGTGAGTAAAAAAAAAACTAACTCTTACAGGATTGAAAATCTTAATTATTCAAAGAAAGGTCACATTGAACAGACGCTGCACATATCTGAATCATACAGTAACAGTATAGGAGCTCAGAATAACTGAACTGCATTAGAAATAGATTGCAATGGTACATTCCTGTAAAACTTTTATTTTTTTGTCTCTTTCATTTTATCTCATTCAAAACTCTCTAATTTTAAAATCTTTGTTCTCATGTTAAATCATTTGCTTGGACAATAATGTGCTTAGAATGCTGATAACAACACAGAGTTACTACAACCAACACCACAACACAGCAATGAGATTTAATGTAAGGGGCAGGAACCACATGGACAGATTGTTTTTACTCATAAATTTCACTATGTAGTTAAATGTGCGAGTCAAGCTAGCTAGCTATCTGTATAGCCTCTTACGACAAGCATGACTTTACCTGTTGTAGCGTTTAAGCTTCTGTAGGCGGGAGTCAGTGCTGCCCTTGCTGACTGGCAGGCTCTCTAGATTGGCCATGAGCAGATTGATGGCAGACTTCAGCTCGTCAACGTACATACTCTCCATCTCCTTCACCACAAACTTTGGGTGCTTCCTCAACTGTAGGCAAAAAATGGGAAAATAATGGGTCCTGTTTGAAGTTTCACCAGTGGATCTCTAGTCTGCGTGTCTATCACAATGACTTTCTAACAGTTCTTTCATACTGTAATAATGTTGCTATACATCCTGTCTTTGTCTTTTCAACATTAAGCAGTCTGTCAAAACATTTTCATTTGCAAATCTTATACATGATCATTTCATTATACTTGATACAGCACTGCACGAGGATAAATCAAAAGGCTCAATGGGCTTGCATCGTCCATCTGGTATTCTATGTTCATCAAAACTATAATCAGTGTTTATCACAAATACGTTAACACATTAGCATTCAAAGTAGGCATATACAATCAATTTAAACCAATTTCCACAACAAATAGCTTATAACATTCAACTCTAAACAGTGACACTTAGGACTTGGATTATAGGTGAATGCAACCTGTTTTTTTTCTGGAAATCTGTTATGGTTTACCATAGTCTTTTACAGATTTCAACAAATTTGATACCTGTGACTTTCAATATGGTACAAAGTCATTTCTTTTCCGAAACTTTGTTGGGCTTCATCCTAGTAACCTATACACCAAATACCACACTTCTGTGCATTTTGATTGGTCAGATTAAGTTGTTTTAAAGTTTTATCAAATTTGACCTCTGTGACCTTGAATAAGGGTCAAAGTATTTCTTTTCACAAACATTATCAGAATTTACCCTAGGAACCTGTTGGCCAAATACCACGCTTCTGCATGCTATCATCAGTCAGAAAATGTTGTTTCAATTTTTCAACAAATCCAACCCCTGTGGTCTTGAATATGGGTCAAGGTCATTTCTTTTCGCAAACTTTGTTATGACAGCTAGATGACAGCTGAGCTAAAAAAAAACCTTCATGCTAGGTGTAATCTGGTTAAAAATTGCCACTCTAAGTTGGGATATTGTTGTCAATTAGAATCTTTATTAATAAGGTGTTAATGTAAATTGCATTGTAAAATGTTTCATCTCAAAATCTTCCTATATCATCTCTGTGGCTGGTACACCAAGTGGGTGTTATGTAATATTCAAAAGTAGAATTGGCACCAATATCAATGTCAGGAAGCATGAAGGTTTCTTTTCTCATTGATATCAGATAAGATTTTACGAACATTACCATGAAGCCGATGACAAAAGCATACCCAGTATACCATACAAATACCCTTCATGTCAGGATTCAAAACTGAATGTTCCCCAAAATGTTCGCATGTAATGTACACTTTCTATCTGTTTGTCTATCAATCGTCCCCTTATGTAATATTAACATCAGACAGTAAGGAAACTAAAAGCTGTTCTGTCGTCTGTGAAGAGATTCTCATAGCCTACAATCTGAGGAGGTCTGTCTAGGATATGACGACAATGATGTGTAGCAGGGGGAATAACTCTGCTTCGTAGACATGTAATTACATAGATGTCTAGACGGAAACCAAGATTTTTGTCAGTATTAAGGCATCACATGACAAGAGTTTAAACACTAGTACATGGTTCTGATCATATCACCCCGTTTGACATTTGATCTCCTAGACTATAAAACACATGCAAAATGTTTTCATAGTCGAAGTAATATCATACAGATTTGTTTTATGCCCAACACGATCCTACGGTGTCAGCCATGGTCAAGTCTTTTCCACTGTTCTAGAGGTACACTGATATCTGTAAGGAACTGCTTCATGTACTATAATGTCCTACAGCCTATGAAAAGGAGTTTATTCTGAATGGTTCTTGTATCAAGTAGCAAATTGACTAAAAACTAATATATATGTATTAATATTTTTGAATTATTCAGAAATACAAATGAAATAATAGTAATAAAAATCATGAAAAAAGTTACACCTATGTAAAGCGATACAACTCTGCAGTATATTTATAGATTGTCACACAGATAATAGCCATCTGTCTCCATATCACCTGAGCCATCTGTGACCACCAGCCTGTTGTGGGCGATGGTGAGCAATCATGCATGAACAGTGGTCAATTTTCTCCCTCACTCTTGTATGAATTCAATTTATTAAACAGAATGTTGGTATTCACACCTTTTCAATCCCACAGAGTTGAACAAATAAGAATTATTTTTTTCCACATAATTAACATACCGTCTCATTTTTGTTATGAATTCTTATATCAATAAGCACTCCCTATTGCATGACAAGCCTCTAACTGTTGTGTATTTAAACCAATATTTTGTATTACAGTGTAAAACACAATTGTGACATGAATATCGTCACTCATTTACATTATATCAATAGTGTAAAGCATATTGGAATCAAACTTTCACTGTACAGGATTTTGCTGTTTATCATTTCCCTTTGAGATCATGTAGTAATTAACATGTCACTTGTTTGTGAAAACGATATCCACATATAACATATATACTTCACTGACAAAACTCTTGGGTGCATTTCACAAAAATATCTATATTATACCTTCAAAATATTAGTTACCGTTCTACCACTTAATTAATATTATAACATTAATTATTCACAGACCTATTTATTCCTTTATTGATTTTTTCAATGATATACACTGTCCTACAATAATGTCAAATGCCGGTCATCATGTGGATGATCTACACTTAAAAGTAATTTTGTCAAGAAGATTACCCGTTGAAAGTTTTGACAAATTTGGAAACAGAATTAATAAAACTTAATGAAACTTGAGGTTTTTTAATGTAAAACCAATTTTCATGATGTAATACTTACCATAACTTTAGTATGCAAATACAGTACCTACACCCATCTTTGTATCCCAACAACAAAAGATTCAAAAGAAAAACAATCCCGCCCTCCCTACGATCCATGAGCCATCACGACAGGAACGCAGAGTGATCTCCCTTCCTCTAATAACCTTTATGGCATAAACCCCACAGAGGGGCAGCCAGGCAGATAAGGAAGAGGGGAGGATAGGGTGGGACTCCATAAAGTTATGGTAAGTATTACATCATGAAAATTGGTTTTACATTAAAAAACCTCAATTTCATTTCAGTAATAATTACCATAACTTTAGTATGCGAATTCGTCTTACCGTAGTGGTGACTAGAAGCCAGGCAGCCCCTTCAGCACAACCAAAGTAGTAGGGAGGGAGAACAGAGTGCTAAAGTGAAGGAAGGGACCTCTCTGTGAAAGAGCAGGTGTACCCACATGCCGCCGTACGGAAAGACATGGCCCGGGGCTAACGAGGAGGCCCAGCCACTGACTATGCCACCACCAAAGGTCCCAATGATACAGGCCTTCTGAGTGGGAAGCTAGGGATCACAGATAAAAATCTGTTAAGGTATCCCTGCCCTGCCAGAATACTGCAGACATGACCTCCTGAAAGGAGGACTCATTGAGAGAAGGGCCCAGGATGAAGCAAGGGCCCTGACCTCGTGAGACCGCGCTTTCACTCTCGCCCGAGCCAGATCATCAAAATGCTCGTAAGCATACTAAATCACCTGGCAAACCCACCTGGAAACCGACTGGGAGGAGATATCTCGTTGCCCCTGTTTAATGGGCAAAACAGACGGGATCGAGAGCCCCGCCCCCCCCTGGTTTTATCAAGATAAAACCTAAGAGCCCGACAAGGACAAAGCAACCTATCTCGCTCCTCCGAGCTAGTCACAGCCAGGATCCTGATGGGATCGTGCGAGAACCCCGGAACCTGATTCTTCGCTAAAAACAACTCTATTCATAGCAAAGCCTCTGATTAGGGCAGAAAGAGAGGAGGACTAACCGATCTCCTTCCTGCCATAACAAGCAAGAACTCTGGCAATAGCTGTACGATAGCCAGCAATAGTGCCAGGTGGCAGATAGCGGTACCTAAACAGAGAGATTAGGAATTCCGCAATCAAATGCAGAGGCTTCGAATGAATAAGCTTCCTTGCCGACACACCAATCACAGAAGATCATCCAACGTGACTGGTAGACGGCAGAAGAGGAAGCCCTGATTGATTGCTCAATGCAATCGGACACCTCTTGAGAAAAGCCTGCCTTGGCGTGGCTTCCAGAGATAGCCTCAGCGCGTGAAGGTGGAGGATCTCTGGTCAAGAGTGTGTCGTTCTGGGCCAAGGCTGGCGAAGGAGATTCGGTCTGGTGGGGAGAGCCAAGGGCTCCTCCACCAGAAACAACAAGAGCTCCTGAAACCAAGCTTGCCTCGGCCACAGAGGGGCTCTCAGAAGTAAGGAGCAGTGATGCTCCCAGAACTTCTGTAGAACCCTGCCCACCAGGTTGAAGGGAGGGAATGCATATGCATACGTCCCTTCCTATTCCAGAGAAAGGGCGTCCACAGCCCACGCCTTACGGTCTGGGACCGGGGAGACGAAGGTTAGCAGCTGGTTGTTCAGGGAAGTGGCAAACAGGTCTATAATAGGTCTGTCCCACGCCTGACAATTCCCCTTGAAAATCAAGGGACACAGCTGCCATTCCGTCAACACCGGCTGGTGGCGCCTGGAGAGTGGCCACCAACACACTCAGCCTGCCAGAAAGATGCTTGACCGCTATGGTCAACTGCATGTCCTGGCAGAGAAGATGGATGTGGATGGAGAGGGCACACAGGACATGAGACCTGGTGGCCCCTGTCTCTCCAGATACGCGACAACTGTTGTCGGTAGCCACACTTTGGACTGCAGGATACCCCTAAAGGACTGCAGAGCCAAATGAACAGTGTCATCTCGAGTACACTGATGTGCTCCGAGAGTTATTCGCCAGACCACTCCCCCATCGAGGTAAGCTCACATTCCTGTCATGAACGCGTCCATGAACAGGATCATAGAGGGGATAGGCTTGGTCAGAGGTACCCCGTGGAAAACGTTCTCCTGAATGGTCCACCAGCAAGAGAACTCCCTGACCGACTGGGTAAGCGGGATCCAGGCCTCCTGGATGACGGAACCCAGTCAGACAGGAGGAACATCTGGAGAGGTCCGATGTGAATCCTCCCTAGGGGGACCACATATGCCAAGGAGTTGAGATACCCCAGAAAACTGAGGAACCAATGTACCTGGACAAGTGACCAAGTGATGAAAGTCAGAGCCAGAGCCCTGACCTTCTCAAACTTCTCCAGAGGTGGAAGGGCTAAGCCCCGAACCATGTCAAAATGGTTCCCCAGGAAGAAGAAGTCCTAATATGAAGGAACCTCTGACTTCTCTCTGGAAGGAATGAAGCCGACTCTGAGCAAGAGTTTCAGGACCAGACGAGTGTCCTTCACTAACGATTCCCACACCAAAAGAGGCATGAGGGAGTCGAGAATAGATGTGGACGTCTATTCTGCAGGAGTGAAGGAAACACCAGCAGCAACTTGGTGAACACCAAAGGAGCTGTCGTGAGCCCCAAGGGCATCTCTGCCTTGGCAGCATGGTCCCTACTTCCTCCTGGAGCACCCGTGCCCTTTCTGAATCCCCGGGAGGAGGAAAGAAACAAAAACGGCCAGGAGGTGAGGGACGAATCCTGAAGAAGGGGAATACCTAGACCCTCCCTGACCACCGACAAAAGCCCAAGCGTCCTCTGTAATATCCTGCCACTAGGAAAGGAAAGCAGAGAGACGTCCGCCCACAGGGAGTTCCGGATGGGGCAGATCGAGCCCCTGCCAGACCAGAGAATCGTCTGCCCACCCGGAGCCTGAGCCTGCAGAAGGACATGAGCCCGGGAAAGGAGAACCACCGTCCACCCGGCCATACCCTTCGCCTTTCGCGGCCAAGAAGCAGAAATAGTCAGGAACCCTTCTTCTTGCCCCCAGGAGGTTTCTTACCCTTCCTACCCTTCCCCTTGTTGCCGTTGAAGTGAGGTTGGGACTTGGGCTGTGCAGAAAACTGAGCAGCCGAAGACTTCGCCTTCTTCTTAGGAGGCACTGACCCCTGCGAGGCACTGGCCTTCTCAGCCTGAAACCTCTTCACCAGAAGTGCTGAGGCGACCGAGTCCTCCTTCATATCCTTCTGAACCCAAGGAAGAGCTCCCCTGAACAGGGTAGAGCCCTAGAAGGGGGCATTCAACAAGCGGAAACGGTAGGGTTACTGGACTGGGCGGAATTTCAGAACTGAAAACTGCCTAGCCAACACGGCATTGACAAGCAGAGAACCTGCAAGGCTGCCGTGTCCTGTATGTCGGCTGTTCTGTCTCGGATAACCGACACTCAGGCAAATCGGATACCCTGTATAGACAAATTGTCAGGAAGTCTATGTATGACAGAACTTGGATGGAGAGGTGCAACATTCTCTCCATCCTGTGGTGCTCTTTGGGATCGAGCACCACCTGGTCCACTGATTTGCCGGGCCAGGCAGCCAGCTGTCTCAACTCCAGCTGTGCTGGTTGAGAGGCCAGCTGCCCATCATGTGTGGCATAGTCGGAAGCTGAAGCCTCCGACAATTCACCAACACTGAGCTGCAGACCGACAAACCCGAGAGCACGGGTAGAGAAGGAGTCCTTCTCTAAAACCGGAGCCCGGGCCGTGGCCAGAACCGAAGACATGATATTGCCTTCTGGCAGAGACCGATCTGAGCGAACGGAAGCCCGAGGAGCCACCAGGGAACCCAGAAGGATGGTGGATTCAGGCGCCGACGATGCTGAGGCGGTGGGCAAACCTCCGCCCTGAGAATCCGGGAGATGTTGGCCCGGAGGACCCGCATCCCAGAAAGCACATGCTGAGCCTCAGCTTCAGCAGTCTCAGGGCCATCTTCCCCTTGTGAACCCTCTTGGCCCAGGAGAAAGATGAATGACATCGTCTTCCTCTGCCGAGCCCGCACCCTCGATGTCCATCTCCTCCTCAATAGAGACCGAAGTCCCCTTGGGAGGAACAGGGGCCGCCAGAGGAGCCATCTCCGCAGAGGGGAACTCCTCTTTATGGCATTTGGACGCAGCGCGACCAACAGCTGTAGCTGTAGGCTTGGGTCGGAGACCCGAAGCCGACCCCTGGGAACAGGAGACCGACGGGTCCGCGCTGGAGGCGGAAGTCCTTAAGGTCTGGCAAACCTTTATAGGACCGGCCAACAAGGCCCCCGAAGTAGCAGAACATTGGGGGGATTCCGCACTGCTATAACATCTCCTAGAGGAGAGACCAACCCCTATGGGTTCCACGAGTGAAGACCCATGGGGTAAAAACCCAAACCCCTGAGGGAATGGGAACGGTCCAGTGGGCCGGGAGTGACCCCAGAACTGGCCAAGATGGCCTGCCTGAGTCTGGGGCTGGACATCCTGTCCAAAGGACCAGGATGAACCGCCACTCCCACCAGGTGGAAACCCAGACATGTACAGGCTAAGCCCGTAACTGCTGAGTAACTGTTGGTACCCAAAACCATCCGCAGGTTGGCCTGGGCGACCCAGGAATAAGTGCCCGCAGGCACCCCTACTCCCTGAGCCCGGGGGAAAGGGAGACCGGAAACCGGACTCCTGGCCTGAAGCCCCAAACCCTTGGAGGAAAACCCCCTGGGAAACCCTGCACTGGGAAATCTGGATTGGGACGGAAGTCCCAGAGCCAGAAGCCTGTGAGGGTGGGAAAACAGACCCCGCGCTGACACCAGGATTAGTGAACTCAAGTGTCACTAATCCCCGTAGCCACAGACAATCCTGACAAAAAGTCTGTGGCCCCTGAACCTATACCCGAAGGCACAGTTCCGGAGTCAAAGCGGCCCCCACCAACGACGCCACCTGGCGTGCCGAGGTCCCTGAAGGAATCAGAGACCTCGACCGGAAGTCCCTTTCCGACGGTAACACCGCCGCCTTTCGAGAGCTACCGGCCAATTCGACCCTTGACTGCGCCGAGTCAGGGTCGGGCTGCCCCCCCCCTACTCCAGGACGCACCTGGACAAGGGGAGCCACCCCCTGCTGAAGGGCGGAGCTCGGTGGAACGAGAGCACCCCCAGCAGGAACGCTCTGGTTCAGAACTTCAGGAGGGAGGTCTTAAAAAGCTTACTTCCCTTACCGGAAGAAGAGGACGAATCCCTCTTCCGGCGGAAAGTTAGCTGGAAAGGCATGGAAGCCTAAGCAGCAGACTCCATGTGCAAACAAAGTTCACATAGTGAGGTCTGGCTGTAATGTCGGCAAATGGGACAGGTATCATGGGGTTCCCATTATCTATAGAAATAGGAACATCCATGCGCTGACCCCCGACGTAAACCCGGCACCTTTATCCAGCATCGAAACAATAAAAAATTGTAACAATGAAAACAAGGATAAAAAGTTTTCTAACAATCAAAAAACTACGAACGAGATCATAAAACCTACCGTACGCAGCAAGATTGTACTGCAAAAAAAGAAAACGGTCGTACAAAACGGCCGACAAAGCAGCAAGAAAACAATTTCAACTTCACGAAAATCCGAGTGACGAGACAAGTAGTCACTCACTCGAACACGCGGAGTAAAAACACGGCCGGAAACGAAGTTCTCGAACAATCAAAAAACTACGAACGAGAGCACAAAGCCTACCGTACGCAGCAAGATTGCACTGCATAAATAAAACGGCCGTACAACACGGCCGACAAAGCAGCAAGAAAACAAATTCCAACTTCACGCAAATCCGAGCAACGAGACAAGTAGTCACGCACTCGAATACGTGGAGGAAAAAACGGCCGGAAATACGGTCAAAATAAACAAATGACAATACTTAATTTCACAATATAAGTTGGGAGATGGGTTTATAGACTACTAATAGAGTAACAATATACTCAAACGACAATGGCAGTACGAAGAGAAGGAGTAAGAAAAGCACTTAGCTCAGACACCTCCGCACTCGTCGGCAGCCATAAAGGTAAGAGGAAGGGAGATCACTCTGCGTTCCTGTCGTGATGGCTCATGGATCGTAGGGAGGGCGGGATTGTTTTTCTTTTGAATCTTTTGTTGTTGGGATACAAAGATGGGTGTAGGTACTGTATTTGCATACTAAAGTTATGGTAATTATTACTGAAATGAAAAGCCTTATTAAACTGTATAGGTAATACACTGGTGAATGGTCATCTGTTCTGGTTATTAATGAATATGACCAGTGGTCAGTTTACAGCCACCTGTTATTTTATTAATTGGATCTCCAGCCAACATAGCCCTACAGGTCATGTACTGATACAAATGAAGACAATCAGACATAGAAAATTATCAAAAGAACAAAAGACAATCTCTTTAGATAAGTCTAGACATCTCTATTGGGGTGTCTACCAACAGCTCTATAAGTAAGTCTACAGACAATTTGTATAAGGAAGTCTCTATTGAAAGGCTATAGACATCTCTATGAGGTTGTCTACAGACAATTTGTATAAGGAAGTCTCTATTGAAAGTATATACATCTCTATAGGTAAGTCTACAGACAATTGTCTCCCTAAAATTGATTCAGTTTGATGAATCAAGCCAAAATGATTCATTTTGATGATATGGATGTAATCAGTGATAAAATGAGTTGTGTTGGACAGGTTCATATGTAATGAGAAGGTAAATTAATTTTAATGGAGGCTTTGGGTGGTACACATGAACAAAAAAGGAGAGAGAGAGAGAGAGAGAGAGAGAGAGAGAGAGAGAGAGAGAGAGAGAGAGAGAGAGAGAGAGAGAGAGAGAGAGAGTTATGATGGAAAATTTGAACTCTACAATGGAGAGAATGAGTTTTGATGGAAAATTTGAATTCTACAATTAAGAGAGTGAAATTTGGTGGAGAAGTTGAATACTATAATTGAGAGAGTAAGTTATGATATTAAATTTGAATTCTACCATGGAGAGTGAGTTTTGATGGAGAATTTGTGCTCTACAATGAACAATGAGTTAGCTGATGGAGAGTTAACTGGTGGAAATTTAAGTGATACGAGTGAGAGAAGCTATAAGTTGTTAGGTTTGGTTTGTAAGTACTGACCCTGGACATTTGTTCCACCTGGTGCAGTCTCCCGTCCAACTCTCGGCGTACCTGGGAAGCTTGTTCATCTGCACTGTCCAGCTGCAACAAATAAAATGACCTTTAAGAACTGATCAAAAGTGATCTCTTTATCATATGTATATTTTGAGTTGCTGAACATTGTTCACATGGATATTTTGCTAAATAAAGTGTTTACTAAACTGCATGAAAATAATTGGCAACAATTTTCTAAACAAATATTCTTGGATAATAACAAAGGCCGTCAGAGACAGTTATGCTCTCTGAATGGGACAAAATCTAAGAATGAAAAATAACAAAGAGCGATAACAGAGTGATGATTCTTGTGCAATGCCCTCCTCCCTGTTGAGATCTATCTATCTATGAAGTTTCAAGTTGATACCTCTATTACCTGTATTAGTTTAATGCTACAGACAAAATTTAAGTATGAAAAATAATAAATAGCAATAACTCTAACTAGATTATGCAAAAGAGAGTGATGGTTCTTGTGTACTGCACATCCCCATGTTGAGATTTATTTATCTATGAAGTTTCATGTTGATTCCTCTTATAATTTTAGTGTAACGCTATGGACAGTATTTAAGTATGAAAAAGGGCAATAACTGCTAAATTAGGCAAAAGAGAGTGATGGTTCTGGTGCACTGCACTTTTCCTTGTTGAGATCTATCTACCTATGATGGTTTATGTTGATACCTCTTATAGGTTTTGTGTTCTGTTGTGGAAAAAATTATGACAGATTGATAATTCTTACAAAAAAACCCCATATTTTTCAAATGTTCTCTTCACTTTTGAAAATATTCCTTCAGTAGGCATATATAAGAAATTTGTCTGGAACTTGCAATGTCATATAGGATCTCTGATATTACAATTTTGTATACCAATATTCAAACCAAAAGACCTGTATCTCACCAAAAAGCTTGTCAGTAGACAGGATTTCCTTCATTGTTAGAGTAGAAATATCACAATTTCATTCATTTGTAAATACGCCCCTTTCTTCATTTTTGCAGAATCAGCAATATTCTTGAACTACATGTAGTAAGCTCAAAGTAGTTCACAAATATGGACAACTTTAATACTTAACTTTTACACTAGGGTAGATGCTTTTTTGAGGATAAATATGGTATTGGTAGGCCTAGTTGGAGAAAGCTTTGTTGCATGACACCATTCTCATTCAGATTTAGTGTCATTTACTGCTCTTTCATTCAGCTTAAATGAACTGAGAAGCTTACGTGTTGCAGATAAAAATTCTCGGTTGCAAGAGTGAAGATTTTGTGAAGGATTGAGTTGTGTAGAAGATTATAGAGTACAATCCAACCTTACTAGTTTTAACTTCCCTTAGCCATAGTAGAGCATCTGTGAGAGAACTGTCACTTCTTGTCCATGTGTGAGCGTGGGTAAGGTTATTATCTTTATTTGACTCTAATTTACAACCATAGCAAAATCTCCATTTCGCTGAAATCTCTCATCAGAAAAAGGTACTGAATTTAAATGGATGTTGAATTTTCTTTAACCGAATTATCTCACATGAGACCTCTCACAAATGTCTGCACTTCATGCCAGGTCATGTGTGAGAAAGCAAAATAACATTTCTACCCTGGTCCATTCAGCCATGTTCATTCATATTTCAAGAAACACTTGCCACAAGCATGGCAATGACACTACAGGGACCAGTGTGTTGGAATGTTGATATAACACATGGATAATTATTGATATACTGGTGATGGATGAGTGCTCCCAACTGTGTCCTGAGAGCTGGAATTGTGCTGAGTGCCATTTAAAGCCCTGATCAGTCAGTCAGTACTGTATATAGATATATATCGAACAGACACAGCCCTTTCTCTGTATTCTTATCTTTATGCAACAAACCAGAAATGTAAGAAAACTATCTACATTTGATTAAGACAGTCATATTTACTGTACTGGCTTCCTTCCATGTGTGATGCAGGAATTTCCCTGCTGAATCAGCCCCACTGGAATTCAATAATAAACATTCCCTCCTAATTCTTACATCATATACATGTATGTATACACTAGACCATCTGGAGACCTTTTCTTCCAAACTTTCATTTCGATGCCAATATTAATTTTTGATAAATGAGTTTTTTTTCTGTACTATTTCAGACTGACCCAAGTTTCATGGAATGTATGTACTTCACTCCTTTACCCCAAATTATTGCCAGAAATTACTTTAGGACTCTTGTAGTGGTTCTCTTTCAGTAAATTGAGGTAAGACATTTAATTGTAAATCAAAGTTCCTGATACAAGGTACAGTTTGGATAAGATCTACTTCATAACTGATCTCATGCAAGGAAGCACAAAAGGAAAAGCTTGCAGTGGAATATCAATATCTAAGATATTTGACAGAAATCAACAATGGAGAAAACAAATCAATAAGCAATTAAATTAAAAACTTAGAACAACCATAAAACTTATTTTAACAGGGGCTAAATGCAATTCAAGCTTAAACTTCTACAAGCAGATTTTACCTCCTCATGGTGTTATCTGAAAATCCCTAAGTGTCGAAAAATATTAATCTTCAGTCCTTTCCATCATAAAACTAACACCAAAACAAGAATATGAAATAGAGTCAGAAACTAATCAGTGAAGCGGAAACATCTAAATGTAAAATCAGTTCAGAGAAAATGTGATGGATTGATAAGCAATCAGTAGAGAGTGAATGCTACATGTTTCTAGCCATTTTATGGCCAGGACATAAAAAGTAACATAATACTGTTGGGGTATTGCAAAAATACCAGTTAAAATAATATATTAAGGTGAGTACGCAAAAGGAAAGGAGAAAGCAGAAATAATCGAAACAAAGGCTGGGATCAAGAGTAAGAAATCAAGAGGGGAGAAGGAATATTCATGGAAGAGCAAGAGGAAGGATATGGGGATAGGAATGAAAATATATGAGGAAGTTAGAACAGACATTCATAGGACAGTATGAGGAATGGGGCAGAGACATTCATGGAACAGCAAGTGGAAGAAAGCACACATTTATAGCACAGTATGAGGAAGGAAGTAAAGACATTCATGGAACAGTATGAAGAAGGGGCAGTGAAATTCATGGAATAGTATGAGGAAGGAAGCAAAGACATTCATGGAACAGTATGAGGAAGGAAGCAAAGACATTCATGGAACAGTATGAGGAAGGAAGCAAAGACATTCATGGAACAGTATGAGGAAGGAAGCAAAGACATTCATAGAACAGTATGAAGAAGGGGCAGCGATATTCATGGAACAGTATGAGGAAGGAAGCAAAGACATTCATGGAACAGTATGAGGAAGGGGCAGGGACATTCATGGAACAGTATGAAGAAAGGGCAGGGACATTCATGGAACAGTATGAAGAAAGGGCAGGGACATTCATGGAACAGTATGAAGAAAGGGCAGGGACATTCATAGAACAGTATGAAGAAGGGGCAGGGACATTCATGGAACAGTATAAAGAAGGGGGCAGAGACATTCATGGAACAGTATGAGGAAGAGGGCAGAGACATTCATGGAACAGCAAGAGGAATGGGGCAGAGACATTCATAGAACAGCAAGGATATTAGTTAGAAAGAACAAAATAGGGTGAGCAAGGAACTGGGAAAAGGGATGGGCTTAAGTGGGCAGTTCATAGGGATAGAGTCACATACATGGAATAAAACCAACACATGGAGAAAACACAATCACTTGATTACAAAACATAACTAACTATAGACATCAGAAAGTGAATAATTAGATATAAGTGAAAAATGATACAGGAGAGCACCAAAATGCTTGTTTACATATTAATGGATTCAAACAGAACACTATGAAACCTCATGTATATTAGCTGGTAAAAATATCTCTTCAGTAACCACACTTGTAATGCACTGAAGCTGTAAACTTTATTATGAATGTTTAACACAAACATCTGTGAAGTTCCTCACATTTCTCAGTATGAAATGGTAGTTCATGGTTGTGTTGCTTTTTGTCAGGAACACATCAGTAATGAATAGGAGTTAATGATGAAGAAGCAATGAAAGAGCCGTTAAATACTGATACACTAGTGTAACGTTGCCTGACTTGGTGAAATCACAATAAAACTAGTACATCCAATCAATACCAAGCCATAAGGATCACTTCCTCCAGCAACTAGTTATTTTAAGATGAACCAGACATGTATCATGATTTATTCACTACCAAATCTATAAAACCTACCAAATATGATTGACATGTGTAAAACTAAGAGATTCTCTATGTGCAGTGCAGCAACTAGAATTTTTAACACTGATTCCGATTTTTTTTCTTTTTCGCTTTGATATCTTTGCCCTTTTATGGAAAGACAGATGTATGATTGATGGGAAGTTTGCATGACATGGGATTCCATTGCCAGTTTGATGAATAAAGCTGACTGATCATTTAACCGAAAAAACACTATTTTAGCAAGACTATACCTTGCCATAAATCAGTGATACAGAACACATCATTTCATTCCCTTACTATAAGCCTTTTTTTGAAACTCAAAGGAAATCTTTTGAAAGTGTAACATCTCTGTTAAAAAAAAATCAGATCATAAATCTACTGGGTCCTAAAACTGAATTCTTAAACTGACCTAGTAGGTCAATGTATTAAAGTGAAACCAATACATATATTTATATATAACAAAGACATGAAAGCTCATAACTTTCAACATTAACATAACCTATGGACAAAACCTTATTTTTGCCAGTCAAAACTGAATTACAATCAATCAACATTTCTTTCATAACATCTCCTTGATCACACCACAGGTAAATTATTAGTCCCTCAGCCTCCGGGGATACCTTTCACAGAAACAATATCTGCAATTACAATCCCTGTGAGACAATTGAAGAAAAGCATACCTAGACTGATAGATATATTTCCAATACAAATGACATTCCCAACCTGTGGGAGAGCTACCATTGATAGAGATTTCCCTGATACTAAAAGCATTCCTCACTCTAGAGGGAGTTACAATACTTTTGCTTATTCAGCAATAAGTCATTAGATGGTCAACACAGAACTTATTACTTCAAGTCATGGGTTAGGCTTATTACAGGAAATTTACAAAA